CTTAGTGGCAGAAAGCGATAACCCAGAAGAGAATCAACAGAGAAGGATATATGTATAATAATTGCTTGGGCGCAAAACCACAAAGTCGTTTAGCAAGCCAAAAGCCTGTAGAGATTATGGACTGGAACTCCGAGATGGAGATGGTGTTTGAAAGTTGCAATGGCAAACAACAAGCAGAAAACCGACTTTGCAGTCAGACAGCTAAAGACTGGAGTTTTAAGTTGGTGGAAGTTGTTGACAGATGAAATGCCACAGGGAGAAACCCTAAGGATGTCTTAGGAAGCATTCATGGAGCAATCAAAAATGCAATACTACTCTGAAATAGATACGATGGACCTAAACAATTAGTTTCGGAACCTGAGGAAAGGGAAGATGAGTGTATATGAGTATGCCATAGCATTCACCGAGAAGATGAATCTATTTCACTACTTGGTGCCGACGAAACTCTCCAAGATAGATGGTGTTGCTAACGGATTGCCAGCAGACTTTAGTGCAACAGTGAAAATGGAAACTACCTTGAAGGTAGCCCGTTAGAGCAACAACTAATGTGGAGATCCAACTTAGTGAAAAGGGTTTCGAAAGAGCTGAGGTAGGCGAGAAGAGGAAGTTTGAGGGATCTTCAAGATCCAAAAATAAAAATAGGTTCCTAAAGTCTGAACCCAACAATAAGAAGTATGGGGATAGTAATGAAGAAAGGTGGTGTGAAAATGTCACACCCCGAAACCGATGACGGAAACGTTCTAGGGCGGAGGACATCATGTAAAGTATCACAACCAATGTACATAGTAAGCATAGTAAACACAACCATTACATTACATAGGAATATTTACATTGTTTGAAAGCAAGGTAATACATGTTTTATATATACATTAGTATAACAAAAGTAAAGAAGAGACTGCTAAAATGCTCCGTCTTCTCCAAAACAATGTGGGATACCTGTCTAACGAGAACCTGAGAATACAAGCAGTTTTAAAAATATCAGCATAAAGCTGGTGAGTTCATAAGCAGTTTGTTTCGGGTAAAAGAACAAGTTTCCTTTGGTTTTCTGAAAATATTGTTATCCAAGAAAATCCCATATTTTCTTATAAGAGAAATTTAGTTATCCATTTGTTAACAGCCTGGTTAAGAACACTTAAAGTTATCCCAAGGGAGTGTTACCAAGGACGTGTCACCAATCTTAACATTAATGAAATTTTAAAAGAAATCATATGAAAAATCCTTGTTTATTGGTCCTTCACGCTCGTATCTAGGGGGAAGTGTTACCAAGGACACATTTCCATTTTTTAAGATTAATGTTATTGGTCCTTCACTCTCGTATCTAGGGGGAGTGTTACTAAGAACGTATCAAAGTTATAAGGTTAATGCTTTTAACAGTAATGATGTGGAAAATCATTTGTGAAATATAAAATATAACCTTTCATAATGAGTTTCACATTTAATATGAAGACTAACTCTACAAGTTAAACGTTCGGTTAATACGGTTTTCAGTGTTAAAAGCATACGGAATATGAAACATTTCATACGAAATAATAAGTTAGAGTACGAAATTTCCTTGTACTTTTGCTTGTATTTCCCCCTGAAAACATGAAAAGCACTGAAAAAGGTGTAGGGGTATGAACTCACCAGACAAGAAATGTGCCAGTTAGGATGCTAAGTGTTAGTTTAGGGCTTGAACACGCGCGAGGCTCCTATGTAATATGAAGACATACATAATTGTATCTGATTAGACTTTGAACCACTAATTAATTAAGATAATACATTCTGAGATGCAGAAACACTTTATTTCAAGTGTTAGGAGTGATATGGGTTGCATTTAAGGGGGTGTAGGGCCTAGATATGGAGTTGGCTCTTCAAGAGTAAACTCTTAGAAGGGATTACGGCCCATAGACCATATCCCCATGAGTTTACATCCGAAACTCATGGGTGGTCTACTCATGGATGTTTAAAGGTCTTACAACACTTGTGAAATTTGGCTAGGTTCAATTCTAGGGCATAGGAAGTGGTTAAGTCCTCAAATGGACCATTTATGGGGGTTTACGACTGTAAACATAGAGTTTACGGCCGTAAACTCTTACTTGTCCCTTCGTTTTGTGTTTTGATGGTTCTAGGTTAAGCACATATGATTCCAGTCCAATATACAAGCCATGGAAGGAAGTTAGGACACCATTTGACCACCTTAGAGGAGTTTACGGCCAAGTAACCATTCCTTGGGGGATTTACAGTCATAATCTCCTAAGTTCATTACTTCCTAGATTTTAAGCTCCCTACTTCGATGGTGGTTGGTTCTAGACATTATTCCATGCCATAGGAGGTGTTTAAGGGGCAATTTAGCACCTTAAATGGTGCTTACGGCCTATGAAGGAGGGTTTATGGTCCAAGAATGATCTTGGGCTGTAAAGTCGGGTTTACTCCCCAAATAAAAAGTTTTTGGTGTTCTAAGCTCGTACGTGTAAGTCCCTGAGTCATAGCTAAGCACCATAAGTGATTTGGAAGGGTTTTGGGGCTTCAAAACCACATTTATGGGTGTTTGCGGTTTGGGGTTGTTCCTCGGCCGCAAACACAAGTTTTTGATACTTTTGGATGATTTAAACATGGATTTGTATGCTAAACAAGCTGAACTATAAGCTAGGATAAATCACTTACCAATTTGGAGCTTGAAAGGGTGGTTTTGGATAAAAATTTGGGTTGTAAAGAGAGAGTATGTAGAGAGAGTGTTAAGAGAGTGAAAAAGCTTCAAATGAAGGTCCAATCACCCTTATATAGGGTTTGGGTTTGGGGCCCGGTGGAAATCTATCCGATACCGACGTTAAACGGGGCTTATGGTCGTACCCAATTAAGTTGTCGTAACCCGACGTGGTCGTGAATTAGAAACTTTTAAAAAGAGTATCAAGGGGGGTTTCACGTGTTTCTAATGCGTTTGGACACTCATGAAGTCATAATAAAAGTCTCAATTTAAATAACCTAATCCAAAAGTTATCGGAAATTGTTAATAAAAACTAATTTATTAACGGAAAAAGAGGTCACAATGATGGGATAAATTTCAGGTTGTCACAAACAAATAAACAAGGAAACACGCTGGGAGATGTCCTAAAGAGGTGGCATGCTTCAAATACGGGAGGACTAGTCACTATGCCATGAATGCAAAACCCAGAGAGAAGTTTGCTTTAAGTGTGGTGGAGAAGGACACTTCAAGAAACACTGTCCGAATAGGGAAAGGGCAATGAAGCCAAATGAACCGCTAAAGCCAAAGCCAAGGGCATTCCAAATGATCCTCGATGAAGTAGGTGACGATGCGAGGAATCAAGGATGAGGACTTCATATCCAAAAATCAAGTTATGAAGTAGCAATGTGAATAGTAACATGTGGTGTACCTATTAAAGGCACAGTATATATTTAACTTGAATCTCTATGTAATTGTTTCAAAAAATAATATAAACCATGGTTTTGTTATCTGATGTATTAAATGATTATGTGAATTTTTTGAATGGTGACTTGGAAAACTGTGAGACAATACTTGGGACAAGTATAAGTAGTTGTGAACAGTAGTAGACGCCTACACTACTGGAAGCACAGGACTCACACTTGGATCAGAGAAAGTCACATGGTTACCAAGAAGCTAGTAATTGATTTCCTTTTTGCTCAAGTATGTCATTACCATCATTTCGATAATGACTAAGAAGATGATTGATATTCTGACCCTAAAGGTCATATCGAATCGAGTCTAACTAAGATGAGTATGTTACGTGGTTCGGGAAAAATTGAGTCCAAGGTTTATTGGACCGTTTAAGGTTCTTCAGAGGATTAGGAATCAAGCTTACAAGCTAGAAATACAAGATGAACTAAATGGTATTCATAACACTTTCCCCATGTATTATTTGAAGTTCACAGGAGAAGTTCCCGACATAATTCCAATTTCTGAATTAAGGTTGGATGAAAGCAAGAGGTTAATTGAAGAATCAGAGGCAATTGTTGGTCGTAAGACTAAGAATTTGCGATGCAAGATAGTCGATTTAGTCCTTGAGCGATGGAAACATTCGAATGGGCCAAATTTCACCTGGGAAACGCAGAGTGACACGATAAGGGGCTATCCGAATTTGTTTGCTGATGTGTGGTTCTGAGGACGGAATCATCCTAAGGAGAAGAGAATTGTAACGCTCGTGTTTCTAGGTTAGGCATTAATGATGATGTAATAGTCTAGGTCAACCTTTGTAATTTGTTTTGGAATAATAAGATTTATTATTTGAATATTTTGTGTTTTATACTTAAATATTATAATTTAATTAATTAAGGATAAAAAAAGCGTCGAAAATAAATGATAGATAACCCTGATATCTATGAAGAAA